TGCCCACCATGGATATCCAGAGACTTATCACTGGGAACACTTAGTTCAGGATAGACTGGCACCAGTTGTGTATCAACTTACAGACATAAAGCTACTTGAATTTTTTAACTTCTAGATGAATGCCATAGAAATATAAATCCTGGTTCCTTAGTTTTATTCAATTTAGTATCAGCAAGAGGCTTCCTTTCACCAGGAGTAAACGGCAATAACTCTAGCAATATTGGCATGTTTAGGTTTCTGTTCAACTTGCATGTAATGTACATTATGAATCTTTTTTAATGTGATAATTAACACACAACTCACTAACTGAATCTATACTTTCGATGTGTTCTCTGGTGTCGCAATTTGAATTTTAGAAACAAGTAGTCAATCACTCTCATATATTTTATTTCATACTTTCACAAGTCAGGTGCATAGTGTACACTTATATAGCAGCAAAAGATAATACTTATGTCTATTTCCTGGAGTTAAAACTGTCTCACACATACACACTTCCTTTTCATAAACTTCTGATCTCTGTTGTAATAATAACACTTTCTCAAAATCAACGTTTTTATTTTGTTTTTACCATCTACCCATTTCAGCTTGACGACTATGAAATTTAAAGCTGCAGTTAATTTGACATATCTTGTTCAGATAGTTCTCAAATAAAATATAAGATCTGACATTATAGATCCAATTATAATTAATATATCACTTTTATTTATCCATAACCATGCATGCATGCTACTGTGTTGACTCATCATAAAACATGATGGGATGTAACTAGATCTACACTAGAATATCAATCCCAAACAACTTTGTATGCAACTCCGTACCATTGAGAAAAGTATTATTTCATAAAGTGGAAGGTCACCTTGGTTTCCAATTTAATAAATCTGACTGGTAATATTCTGTAAGTCTACAAACTGATAATTTGAGTTATGATATCCTAGGGACGCAACTAGGCTTAAACTAAATCTATCACACTAAAATATCAATCCCAGAAAACTTTTTATGCAACTCAGTACTGTTGAGAAAAGTATTATTTCATAAAGTACTGGTTTAATCTCCAGAAACTAAAAGGTGATGAGAAATATTTAAAAACTGTCCATTTCTTCTCCAGTCATCAAATGAGTTATGGCACAAATGTCTTTCTTTAACACGCATAGATAATTAGTGTCATAGCCATATGAATGGTTTACAAAATAAACAAAGAGCTCGAGGTAAAGAATTACAGAATATTTTGTAAAGTAAGAGACAAGAGATGTTATACATGCACGTCCCCAGGGTAAAGAATTACAGAATATTTTGTAAAGTAAGAAACAAGAGATGTTATACACGCACGTCCCCAGGGTAAAGAATTACAGAATATTTTGTAAAGTAAGAGACAAGAGATGTTATACACGCACGTCCCATCTCTATAAAAGTACAGAAAAGGAAAAGATCCGAGTTATGTACACACCAGTCACAAAGAGCAAGACAAGAACTTATGACTGGTTACAGTCAAGGTTTTAACTAATAAGGCTTAGATCATTAAACGAGAGAAACTGACGCTCACAGAATCGTCCAAAAATTTCAGTTTTCTAATCAAAATAAATCTTTATGAATCAGAGTTTAATACACTTTCAACATTTAAGTGACAATTTAATTACTGCAGGTAATGAAAGTCACACACTGACAAATGTTTCAAGATCTAAACATAAGTAAACATTTTCAAGTTAAGTACTATATTCGTATTCAATAATGCTTTTTTAGATTATAAGTTCTTAGCAAGAGAAAAATCGCCTACAATAAAGGAACACAGAAGACCGTTGTATTGAAACTACCCTCTTTGAGAATTCTCTAACATCTTGAATTCAAGCAGAAATAAAGACTTATATGAAAAACTGTGTGTATATTTATAGTACTGAGAAAACCTGATGTTTTATACAAAAAAGTGAAATTAATAAAATTACAAACATCAAAAGACAAAGAAATACACGTTTTTATGATTACTGATCTATATGTAAAAAAATTTCAAAATGGCTACCATTATTGAAAATGTTTAGAAAGAAATAATAAACCAGCTTTTGTGTTACAAATATCACAATAAATAATTAAAAACTAGTAATATAAAGAGAGATAAAATAATAAGGGTGGGGTATTTGAAGAGTCAAATATTCAATACTGACGTTTGTATTATTTACATCAAACTATATAAATCTCACGATCTATACATGTACAATAAAAAAATTGGCTAAGTTGTTTTTTATACATAAAACAACTTGAGGGAGAAATAATTGTTGGTGTGGTTAACTATTAGAGCTCATCACAAAACATCAATAATACTGAGGTTTTAGTCAAAGATTACATAGTAATGTAGTAAATAAAAATGAAAATAGTATACAATAGGTGCAAATGATATTAAAAGACTCAAAGTATAAGAACAGTCAAGAACATAAACATTAATCATTCTCTCAGTGGTTTCAGTTTTGTTTTCTGACAGTGTTTAGAAGCAACATTTATCAGAAGTTTTTTTTAAAAAGATTAACTAATCTACCATTTCAAAATAAACTTTTTTTTTAGTTATACATGTAATAGCACAATGACAAAACTAAAAAAAAAGCATTAAATACTGGTGTTGATCACAAGTAAATGTAAATAGGCTAAAAAAAGTAAGTTATCTTATAATTATCAACAGCCTGACATAGCAGCCAAGTTCTTGTAATTCAACTAACATAGTAAAAGGAAATACTTTTAACAAATCATGCTGTAAAAGAAAGGGTTTTAATATTAGTTACCACCAAGAGAATTATGCTAAACATTACTCATAACAAAAGGTACTCTGAGAACATGAAGCTACTTACCATATTTTTATTCTTTGACTGAATAGTAGGTTCAACTTACTAACCAGTAATTGCACAACCTAAATAAAACCTAATTCAGCTATCAAAATATTCACTGTACAGTACCTACTAGAGAATATTAAAACAAAATAGTGAAAAAAAAATAAATTAACTGCATTAAAAATAAATATCTTTAATATTTTCCCTTGAAAATATTCTCTGGGTAAACTACTCAGTGCTGTTATCGTGTTAAGGTTACGATCTGGTGCAAAAAAAGCTATATATCTGGGTCGGCCGGACGCCACATCCACTTCCCTAGTACTGTGTTTCTATTGTTTCAACTCTCCCAGTGTTCTTTGGTGTACAAAAAGTGTCTATTATGTATTTACATAGTGAAGCCTTGTATACGTATTATATACACAGATTTTCCCACAATAAGCTACATTTCCAACTAATTAACTTTGATTTCACAGCAGCTAACACAAACAAGGTAATTACAAGCTGGTAGTTCTTAAGCAAGTTTCTTACATGGTATGTATTGTAAACATTTAACGAAGGTTTTTGTAATTACAAAATAATATTACAGTTCAGTGCATAATACTGACACTCTGCAACAAAGATCGTGTTATTTAAAAATTCACAAATCTCTCTACATTTTATTTTTTACTCAAAAAGTAGTAAATGCCGTGGAAACCATCAGAATGTCTAGAGTATTTTAAACAAAATTACTACAATTATGATGGAACATTACAGACTCGCCAAACAAAGCACTCTCGAACACTGATAAGTGATGAAAATGTGGGATTGAGTACTTTGTGTCAAATATCTTTGCTGTCAACCAGCATTAAAAATATTTGTAATCAGACTTTCCAGTCTTCTACATTACAATAACTGTGACAGTACTTGAAAACAGTTACCACGTTCGGGAAGAATGACTAATACAGAACCAGATATTTAATCATAATTTAAGTCATTCAGAATACTTACACAGTTGACATTACAATAACTGTGACAGTAGTTGAAAACAGTTGCCATGTTCGGGGAGAATGACTAATACAGAACCAGATCATAATTTATGTCATTCAGAATACTTACACAGTTGACATTACAATAACTGTGATAGTACTTGAAAACAGTTACCACGTTCGAGGAGAATGACTAATACAGAACCAGATATTTAATCATAATTTATGTGTAAGTATTCTGAATGACTGTGTAATTTGCTATGAAACAAACAAGTGTTTTGTATTATTCAGGTTTTTACCTTATCCATGCCATCTTTCCCTTCCACTAACATGGATAATTGAGAGTCAACTGTGTAAGTATTCTGAATGACTTAAATTATGATTAAATATCTGGTTCTGTATTAGTCATTCTCCCCGAACGTGGTAACTATTTTCAAGTACTGTCACAGTTATTGTAATGTTAACTGTGTAAGTATTCTGAATGACTTAAATTATGATTAAATATCTGGTTCTGTATTAGTCATTCTCCCCGAACGTGGTAACTGTTTTCAAGTACTGTCACAGTTATTGTAATGTCAATTGTGTAAGTATTCTGAATGACTTAAATATCTGGTTCTGTATTAGTCATTCTCCCCGAACGTGGTAACTGTTTTCATGTACTGTCACGGTTATTGTAATGTTAACTGGTAAGTCTACGGACTTGTAGTGCTAAAATGTGCAGTTTGATTCTCAGTAGTGGACATGACAGATAGCCCAGGTGCGACAGCAGTAAGTCTACGGACTTGTAGAGCTAAAATGTGCAGTTTGATTCTCAGTAGTGGACATGACAGATAGCCCAGGTGCGACAGCGGTAAGTCTACGGACTTGTAGTGCTAAAATGTGCAGTTTGATTCTCAGTAGTGGACATGACAGATAGCCCAAATCTTTGCAAAGTTTAAAATCAATCAACAGTTGCTATAGTAGCACCCCCTGGTATCATTTCCAGAAACTAGTGGACTGAACCAGTTGTATTCTGCAATACTTGTTTCAATCACAGATCTCCAAGTATCTTTGCTAAGTTTAAAATCAATCTGTACTTGGTTTTTTTAACTTTATAGGAGAGATTAATTTTATAAGCAATGAGAAAACACAGTTATTTATGGTTCTTTCCCAGATTGTTTCAAACTATCTTTTAGTAAGAAGGACAAATTCAAACACTCCATCTTTAAATAACGTGTTTAAGTATCCTCTTGTCTGTGAGAAATATAGTGTTATTTGCTGTTAAGATTTTTTGTGTAACATCTTCTAGAGTGTTATAACTGTTGTTTTTACGTGCACTTCAAAAATTCCAATGGTTAGTATAACTGAATTTATAAATAATATTGATTTGAATTGTTTAAAATATTTCTTCTTTTCAAATAATAGAAGGAAGAATTTTTTATTTATGGTCACATGACATTAAACTATTTCTTTATTAGATTTCCTACTTAAAAGTAATTTGTTTCGTTGTTTAGCGCTAAAGAAAAGCTTTTTTTAAATCTCTTACAGACATTTTGAAATATTTATATTTTCTCTACGTTTATAGCAGACCAAAAAGTGGGAAGCGCCCCCAACCCGAAGTGCCGGACACCATATCTCATTTTCCACAATCCCGTGGGCTGGTCCCAAAGTAAGACAGGAACCTTCTCCCAACCGTTGCTGTTTCCATTGTTTCAACTCAGCCAGCCCTTGTCATTGTCTTTATGTTTCTGCCAGCATCAAAGATAAAGCTTCAGTTAAAAGTTCGGGTTCTCTCACTGATACTGCCTGTGTGCTTAAAAAGAAAAGATCTTTCTCTGGACCTCCATTTATTAAAGATAGTTTTGTGGCTTACACAGATTATTGTGGTGTTGACCTTGGTAATCATATTGTGAAATACCCAAGATGTAAAAAATTCAGTGAGTTTTATATCAATGATCACATGGTTAGTTTATCTCAGGAGTTTGGAAAATCATTTTCTTTCGGTGATTTTTCAGATTTTCGGAGCAGTATTAGCAGGCTAGATCATGATATTTACTCCACTTTACCTCTAATTTGCCGGAAGAGTCGCACTCTTCTGTCTTCTAAGGCTTCAAGTCCTGATTGGAAGCTCGAATTTGATGCCTTTTCAGAAGCTACTAATAATGTAATTTTGAGAAAAAATTGGAAATGCTTTGGTCATGACGAGGTGTTATTGGACCTCACAATAAAGATATAGAGTTCCATTCATCACTGTCTGATTATGTGTTCTCCAAGGATGATAATAGTAAATCTACAGTAAAAAAATCAATAAGATTCAATCCACTGAACTTGCACCCTGACTTTGATAATCGTGACAGCACTAGAAGTGTCTCTCCATCGGACTTACCATTTTACCAAACAGTTGTACCTCGGTACAAACCTACACCCAACTACCAGTACCAGTCAGATTTAAAGAACAAAGTCCATCACCTTGATCTGTCAGTTCATAGACTTTCAGGTCATGACTTGGACATTACAGTATCCAAACCCCTAGGACATAGTAACTCAAATTTATCAGTTTGTAGACTTACAAAACATTGCCAATCAGATTTATCAGTTCATAGGCCAAGAAGACACAGAAAATATCACCAATCAGATTTATCAGTTCATAGGCCAAGAAGACTTAGAAAACGTTACTCATCAGGTTTATTAGATTGGAATCCAAGGCGATATAGCCAGTCAGACTTAGCAAGATATTATCACCCAGATTCACCAGTTCACAGATCTGAAGATCACTGTCAAATGAATCTTTACAACCCTCGAGAGCATTCTCAGTCGGATTTTCTCAGGCACAGAAGTCTTTGTCAGCTGAATTCGTGTAGACCAACAGAACTTGGTGGATTATACACATCTATAGACAATGAACAACAACTACGGGCTTTCAGAAGCCAAGAGGCAGCACTTATATTAGCACTGAACCAGAGCCAGATTATAGACCTGAGAACCATGTGGACCTCGGGTGAAAGGGTGGTTCTGTGGTTGTTTTTAGGGAGGCTTTTGTTTCTCCTTTGTTCTTTTTGTTCCTATTTGTATCATCTATTATAAGTTGTTATATATGTACAGAGCAAATGTCTTAATTTGATTTGATGTATACATATTTAAAGATTTTGAGTTTTCATTTTAAAAAATTAGTTTTTTACTTGTACTTTGTTGAACTTGACAGAAAGCTGCCAAATTTTAAAAAGTTTGGACTTGATTATTTTCAAGAAATATAGCTATATAGACCAGTGTTTATTGTTGATTTGAAAACACACATTCTTGTATTCACTGGGAGGGGTTACGTACCCCCTCCCCCATGTACATGTGTACTTGAAATGTGTTGAAGAATGTTAATCAGCAAGTGAGATCAAAGTTTATTACAGTTGATTCTCATTCATCCTTGGACAGGTTATCTGGTTTGACTTTCAGTCATCCTTGGGCAGGTAATCTGGTTTGACTCTCAATTATTCTTTGGCAGGTAATCTGGTTTGACTTTCAGTCATCCTTAGGCAGGTTATCTGGTTTGACTCTTAGTCATCCTTGGGTAAGGTTATCTGGTTTGACTCTTAGTCATCCTTGGGTAAGGTTATCTGGTTTAACTCTCAATCATCCTTGGACAGGTTATCTGGTTTGACTTTCAGTCATCCTTGGGCAGGTTATCTGGTTTGACTCTTAGTCATCCTTGGGCAGGTTATCTGGTTTGACTTTCAGTCATCCTTGGGCAGGTTATCTGGTTTGACTCTTAGTCATCCTTGGGTAAGGTTATCTGGTTTAACTCTCAATCATCCTTGGCCAAGGTTATCTGGTTTAACTCTCAATCATCCTTGGCCAAGGTTATCTGGTTTAACTCTCAATCATCCTTGGCCAAGGTTATCTGGTTTAACTCTCATTCATCCTTGGGCAGGTTCTCTAATTTGACTCTCAATCATCCTTTGGCAGGTTATCTGATTTGACTCTCAGCCATCCTTTGGCAGGTTATCTGATTTGACTCTCAGCCATCCTTTGGCAGGTTATCTGATTTGACTCTCAGCCATCCTTGGGCAGATTATCTGATTTAACTCTCAGTCATCCTTGGCCAAGTTATCAGGTTTGACTCTAAGTCATCCTTGGGCAGGTTCTCTAATCTGACTTTCATTCATCCTTGGACAGGTTCTCTAATCTGATTTTCATTCATCCTTGGGCAGGTTATCTGATTTAACTCTCAGTCATCCTTGGCCAAGTTATCAGGTTTGACTTTAAGTCATCCTTGGGCAGGTTCTCTAATCTGACTTTCATTCATCCTTGGCCAAGTTATCTGGTTTGACTTTCATTCATCCTTGGACAGGTTCTCTAATCTGACTTTCATTCATCCTTGGACAGGTTATCTGATTTGACTCTCAGTCATCCTTGGTCAGGTTCTCTAATCTGACTTTCATTCATCCTTGGACAGGTTCTCTAATCTGACTTTCATTCATCCTTGGACAGGTTATCTGATTTGTGGTTTAACTGTGCTACAATCTTGAAAATCTCGGGAATTTTATATTTCAGTGTTCCTTTGAACTGCTTTCATTACAGTTCTTGTTAATTTTGTGTGCCTTTCATTTTATTCTTCTTTTCTTTCATTATTTCACTTTTTATTGAATAGTTTCTTAGTGCTGTGTGTTTATTGATTATTGAAAACAGTGAACAAAATTCAACAGTGAAATCCAGTGTATTCTGTAATGATAAAAAGTTTATCAAACAAAAAGAACAAACGCTTTTAAATAATTATTTGAAATTATTTAATAAATCCTGTCATGTTGTATATTATGTATTATTTAAAAATCATCTTGACTTTTTTATAGAAATACATACATATATATGAGCTTTATTCGAGTGTTTTGGATGGTCCTCTGGTGCGACAGTGGTAAGTCTACGGACTTGTAGAGCTAAAATGTGCAGTTTGATTCACAGTAGTGGACATGACAGATAGCCCAGGTGCGACAGCGTTTAAAATCAATCAACAGTTGCTATAGTAGCACCCCCTGGTATCATTTCCAGAAACTAGTGGAATGAACCAGTTGTATTCTGCAATACTTGTTTCAGTCACAGATCTCCAAGTTTTAGCAAAGATACTTGGAGATCTGTGAGTGAAACAAGTATTGCAGAATACAACTTGTTCATTCCACTAGTTTCTGGAAATGATACCAGGGGGTGCTACTATAGCAACTGTTGGCACAATCATTTTCATTCACCGTATCCAACTTG